GCAAGATGAGATGGGGGGCCAGTTTCCTGTGCTTTACTCTAATATTAATTAATTAATTAATTATTTAATTGTATTAAGATGGTTTTGGTCTGTTTTTCTGCCAGACTTCAGGAGGGCTCAAAGTGGTTTACACAATTAACTCCAGACATTATAATTCAGATCACTGAAGCTCAGAAAACAGCCTCTCTGTTGCCCACAACACAACTAGTCCTACAAGGCTGCAGGAAAGATGCTGAGTATGTTTGCATGAGTACACACTATGTATTTAATTTGCTTGGCTGTTCTTAACCCTTTTTCCCCAAGGAAAAGAGTACATGTGTGTATATATATTTTTGTGTGTATATATGTTATTGTGCAGTCGTGGACTTAACATCCATCAGCTTTTCCAATTAAGTGTGTGTGTGCATGTGTGTGTGCACACATGCTGAAGGCCTGTCTGGGCATCCCAGCCCCCCCCCCCCCAGGTGGTGAGCTGATTTATGCTTGCCCGCAGAGACTGATGGACCCAATTGAGTTCCAGAATGCTCTGCAGCATCCAGTGTCCCCTGACGATTCGTTGGATGTACTGATAGATGATTGGCATAGCCAACACCCTAACACCCTCTTCATCCCCGCTCCAAACTAGCTCCTTGGTATTCTGCGGAGCTTCAGAGGATGAAACTGGAGCTTAGACAGCTAGAGCAAGTTTGGCAACATATTCATGACAAAGCTACAAGAGCATCCTATAGAATGTTTATGAAATCCTATGAGGTGGTAGTGAAGGCTGCAAAGAAGGAATTTTATGCAGCCTCTATTGCATCCACTAGCTCTTGCCCTGCACAACTATTTGGAATAATTAGGTCACTAACTTTCCTCTCTGAGGAAACCCCAAATACTAGTAATCTGATAATTAGCTGTAAGGTTTTTGCAAGCTTTTGTTGTGGATAAAGTCTTGTCACACCACCAGGACCTGCTTGTCAATATTGATACAGTATAGGAACTGGGTTCATCTTTGGGTCTGGTACTGGACCAGTTCAGCTGGCTCTCATGGGCTGATGTCAATAGGCTCCTGGAAGCTGTGAAGCCTACCACATGCCTCTTGGACCCATGTCTATCATGGCTGGTAAAAGCCAGTGGTGATGGAATACAGGCTCCCCTGATGGACATTGTAAATCTGTACCTGAGTTTGAGGATCTTCCAGGAGAGACTGCTTTTAAAGAAACCATCCTTAGATCCTTCTGATTTGTCCAACTACTGCCCAGTATCAAACTTATTGTTCCTGGGCAAAGTAGTTGAGAGAGGGGCAGCAAAACAGCTCCAGGTTTTCCTTGATGACACTTTGGACATGGGACAGAGATGACACTGGTCACCCTCACAGATGACCTTTGCTGGATCTAGGTGGGTCAGTGCTGCTGATATTACTTGACTTGTCAGCAATGTTTGACATAGTCAATTACATCTGTTGATCCACCACCTTGCCAATGTGGGGATTTAAGGGACAGCTTTGATGTGGTTTGTCTCATTTCTCCAAGACTGGGGACAAAGGGTAGTGCTAGGGGAGAGGGTTTCACCATGTTGATATTACTTATGAGGTGTCCCCCAAGGGGCAATCCTCTCCCCAATGTTATTTAACATCTTTATTCACCCCAATGCCAAGGTGGTGTGGAATTTCATGCAAGGGTGTCACCAGTATGCAGATGACACCCGGCTGTCTCTGTTGATTAGTGGCCAGCCGAATGCTGCCCCATATATTTTGGCTGAGGGATTGGAGGCTGTGGTTGGTTGGTTAAAGCATAGCCCACTGAAATTAAATCCAAGATGGAGGTCCTCTGGGCTCTTCGTGGTGTGCTTTTAACACCAGTGCCAGCTGTCAAGAGTCTGGCTGTGATTCTGGATGCCTTCCTCTCAATGGAGGCCCAGGTCACAAATGTAGCTAAACTGGCATTTTATCACCTGCATCCGGTTAAGCAATTGGTCCCCTTCCTGTCTCTCCCTGACTTAGACACAGTGATCCATGCAACGGTCAACTCCAGTTTAGATTACTTTAACTCACTCTATGCAAGGTTACCCTTGAGACTGACCTGGAAACTACAGCTGGTTTAGAATGCAGCTTTGCATGTTCTTACGGGAACTTCTTCCAGAACCCATATCCAACTGGTGCTCCGCCAGCTACACTGGCTCCAGGTCAAATACCGGATCAGGTTCAAAGTAATCTTCAAAGCCTAAATGGTCTGGGACCAGCATACCTTTGGGACCACCTCTCCTGGTACATCCCCAAAGAGCACTATCCTCCAGTGATAATTGACTGGTGATCCCTGGCCCTAAGAGTGTCCAGCTGTCCTCAACCAGAACCTGGCTTTTTGGCCCTGGCTCCAACCTGATGGAACAGTCTGCTGGGTGCATGATCTGATGCAGTTCCACAGGACCTGCAAGATGGAGTAGTTCCGCCTATGGTTGAGGGCAGCAATGGCTCTTCTATCTTCAATTGCCCTCCCTTTCTCTTTCCCCTCCCCTTTCCTTCATATCAGGAAGATTTTAGGATATTTATCTCCCTCCCGGGATAAGGAGCTCGAGGTTGTGCGGTTGTGCCCTTTTATATGCCATCTATTTGTTCAGTTCAGTCACCTTTAATGGCATAATGGGAATAGTAAAATACATATCATAACTATCCCAACAAACTAAAATATAGTAAAAACAATTAAAATACATACAATTCCATTTAAAAGCCTGTATCTGATTTTAATCACTTCAACTAGAAACTTAGCAATGAAAGCTGCAATTTCAGGGTTGATGTCATTTAAGAGGTTTTGGATAATTCTATCTTTATTAACATTAGGATGTAAAATCTCCAGAACTTATGAAGCCAGGATTTTGGGGGGGCTGTTTTTTGGGGGGCAGATATTCTCTGAGCCCTGTTGTTCAGGGGAGGGGAGGCTATCTGGGCCTGGTGATTTTTCAGTTTTTAAGTTGTCTATCAGTTTTAGGACCTCCTCTCTCGTCACCTCAATCTGACTCAGGTCTTTCAACACCCCTCCCGAACTCAGCGGTTCTGGAGTGGGCAAGCACTTCTCATCTTCCACAGTGAAGACGGAGGCAAAAAATGCATTTAGCTTCTCAGCCATTTCCCTATCATCCTTCAGTACTCCTTTTACCCCTTGGTCATCTAAGGGCCCCACTGCTTCCCTGGCTGGTTTCCTGCTTGTAATGTATTTGAAGAAAGTTTTATTGTTGGTTTTTACGCTTTTTGCTATATGCTCCTCGTATTCCCTTTTTGCCTGCCTGACTACAGACTTGCATTTTATTTGCCATAGCCTGTGTTCCGTTTTAGCAGCCTCACTGTGACTAGCTTTCCACCACTTAAAGGAATCCTTTTTACCTTTTTCAGCTTCCATTACTTTGTTTGTTAACCATGCAGGCTTTTTCCCATACCTGTTTGTGCCTTTCCTAACCTGCGGATTTTTTTTTTTTGAGCTTCTAGAATCGTAGTTTTAAATAGTTTCCAAGGTTCCCCAATGGTTTATGGAATGAAAAAAATATATAGGCTAATGAATGCACATGTATGAGGCAGTTTGATGTGTTTGTGCTGCCAAGGAATTCTGAATAAGAGGAGCCCTGCAGAGTCCAACAATATGGCTCAGTTGCTGTCCTTCAGCCCACTTGTGCTGTATGGTTGTGCTGTTCTGCTGTATGGTTCTTGTGCGGACATCAACAGAGAATGATTTCATGGTAACAGAATGAACATGTTATTGGGTATGTTCACTGGTGTAACAACAATTGCTTTTCTCTCCATGGCTATTGTTATTATGTTGCCTTTGCAATTAACTAAATGTAGGATTTCCACTTTGTTTAACAAAAGTAGCTTCACAAAACTATCTGCACTAATTCTCCTGTCCATTTGTTCATATTCATATTACAATGTTGAAATAAATGATGCCTGGAAACTGTTCTCAGTTATTACTTTCAGATACAAACTGCTGGCAGTAGAATCCTTTGAACCTCCTTTAACTATTGCTATACTTGTTTAATTGGAAAAGATGCTGGATTTTAAGGCCATGACTTCACAACAAGATTTAATTATGAGTACTGATATTGATAAAATTTAAACTATTAAGCTCTATTTTTTTAAAAAAGAAACTTGACCATATTTTGTCTTTAAATCTTTTATCACCTGCAAAAATTAATTAAATGCAGATGTAACAGGTTAGGTTTGGATGCCAGGGTTCATTTCCTGTCTATGCTTTTTCAGACAACTTATTACACCTCCTCCCGAAGTGTAGGCAAAACAAAAATGGTGCTCATAAATCAACCTTTGGCTTTTCCTTTAGGCTGTAGATGGGGCTGGACCTTAAGTAGGAGGCAAAGCTCCAATTCATTATTCACAAGCAGAATGTATAGACAACAGGCCAAATGACAACTGTGTTTGAAGAATCCATTCGTTTGAAACTCTAGAATGGAGCAAAAGATAAATCTAATCCACCAGGTTTGCATTATTAAATCTGTTTTTCTACACAGAGTCATCCCATGCTGGCATACAGGATTTGGAAAGCTCTCTGAAAACCAGATCTTCTTGATTTGTTTCACTGGTGTCAGGATTGCACAACTAGCTGAGTTAATGTCAGCTTAAGGAAGAAAGCCAAGCTGGTTACCAAGGCC